AATGGCACGGCAAATAAGAATGATCTAAAGGTTTGTATACCCCACCTAATAGCTGTCAACTCGCGTTCAATTGTAGAATAGCGCCTCTGCGTATCGGTGAAAGTTCTTGACGAATAAGCTATAGTTCTATACTCGCCCCTCTGCTTTTGCATCAAACAGGCACCTGCACCTACACTTGACGCATCTACATACAACTCTAGGCGTTCTGCCGAATCAGAATAATCAGGAAAACTAAGTGCAATATCCTTCAACAGGGCACCCTTCAAACTTTCAAACGCAACATTCATTTCAGGCGTCCAACTTAATACATCTTTCTTCGGTCTACCAGTCAATTCGGTTAGAGGCTTTGCTATAACTGAACATCTGTCGATAAACTTACGCTGAAAATTCACCAGACCTAAAAATTGACGCAACTGTGTTACTGGGGTAGGCTTAGGATAGTTGACAATCTTATTCATAAATTCTGGTGACTTTCGAATTCCTTCTGCGCCTATGACATGTCCCAAAAAATTGACTGACCCCCTGAAAAACTCGCACTTTTGAACTTTAATTTTGATCCAGTTGTTACCAAAGGTTGTCAACACTTTTTTAACTAGCACTAAATGTTCATCAAAAGTTTCCGTCATTATCAATATGTCATCTATGTACACGAGAACGTTGTGAAAACAAAATTCAGACAAGATTTGCTGCATCGTTTTTTGAAATGCTATCGCGCTATTACGAAGACCAAAAGAAAGTCTCTTGAACTGATAATGGTTGTGAGGCGTGCCGAAGGCTGTGTATTTGCGACTATTCTCATGAACGGGAACCTGATAATACCCTCTGACTAAATCTAATTTTGTAAAGAACTGTACATTGTGACCTGCGTAAATAGAATCTGTTATATTAGGCATCGAAAATTTCTCAGGCTTAGTTACCCTGTTCAGCTGCCTATAATCCAAGCACATACGTAGCTCTCCCGAAGACTTCCTAACAGGCACCACTGCTGCCGACCAATCTGACTCACTATACTCGATAATGTCACTGGATAACAATTCCTCACACTGCCTGTCAATCTCTTTATTCACGGGTTCTGAAAATCTCCGTGGTCGTAGCCATATGGGCGTATTATCTGTCAACTCGATAATATGTGGCGAGACATTGGCTCGTCCTATATCGTCATCGCTCTTACTCATAACTGACTTAGCTTCCAATAACATCTTATACATTGCACCCTTCTGCTCTTCTGCCAGAGAGGCACCCAACTCAACTTCGTTCTTCAAACGACTAATGGTCCAAACTTCACTCGCAAACTCGTCTTCATCTAACTCTAACAATTAACGTTGATACTCGTCCCACATAGCATCCTTCACTAATTAACTTTCCACCTTTAACACTAGACACGATTACTTCTGGAGTATCCTGACCTAACGAAATAATACCATCTAAACTGTGCTTGCCTGCTCCCTCTTTCCCTTCAAAAAAGTAACTTGGTATTCTCCCCTTCACTACCGAACAAAAATTTGCCACTATCGGTACTCTAGTTCCTGATTCATTCACTCTAATTTTCTTTGAGGCATAGACAGGCATATTTTCAAGCATTACAGAAATTACTGAATTATTCTCAGACAGAAACACTTTCACCGTAGAATTATCTTTCATAGTCTTACTTATGGTGCGCTTGCTCATGTTAATTGAAACTTTTTCCGCATGTAAAAATGAATAGCCTAAAATAACATCATACTGGATAACATCATTTGCAACAACTATTACCGGTACATTAATGATCACACCGAAAAAATTTAAAGGCAGACTGGCATTACCTAATGCATAAGTTTGAGTTTTACCCAGACCTTTAATTACAGATGGTTCTCGATCACACAAGTTAATGCCATTATTAATCAAGACTTGCACGCGACATAAACTTTTACCGGCACCACTATCTACCAAGACATTTATATCAGAGGATAGGACTTTAAGCGAAAGGTACATCAAATTAGCAGGTTTCAAAGAAGACACATTCACCTGAGGAATAGGGGGCTTGCCTGTAACTTGTGGCGTGCTTGTCTGACTGTCTGCAACCTGTGCTGCAGCGCGACCACTCTGCTCCTCCATACGTCCGTCCAAAGATCGCCTTGCCCCAGCCGTAGGCCTGCTCTGCTTCGGGTCGGATCTTATGTTCAATGATTCGCTGGTATTGTTGCTGTTGTTATTACTGCCACCGTCCTCTTGCTTGTTGTCCATTTCGTCCACCAGCAACGCAAACCTGTTACGCAGCCGTAGCTCGTCCGTATTCACTGAGGATTTGTTCACATTACTTTGCTCCCACTTTACCTCCTTTGAGCGAGAGCATTGGGGTTTAAAGGTTGTCTTATTGGGATCAGATTCGAGGTACTTAACACCGGATGACGCACAGCATCATTCTCGGGACGACGTCCCCGAGGCTCTGATGGCTCCTTACGCTCGGGCATACGATTAGCTCCCTGAGGTCGATACTCTGGACACTGACGCAAAAAATGTTCGGACGATCCGCATTTGAAGCATCGCCCACTCAGCATCCAGCAATCCCTTCTAAGATGTCCTGGGCGACCGCAATGATGGCACACTGCGCTCTTGCGAGTCTGTGCGCGTGTCGAACCAGATTCGGACCTTCGTGCGTCGCCGTACCAAGTGTTCCTCCCTCTTCGAATAGGGTCGTGCCGTAACCGCTGAGACGGTGCATACTGCGAGGCTTGACGTATCGGTGCCAACTGATTACGCGAGAGTGATTCATTAGCGACTTGAGTGCTCGCATCACATCTCTTCTTTGTCTGACTAATGTTCACCACCATGTCGGGCTCTGAGTCGAAGTTTGCTTCAGCTTTGGAATTCTCCACATCATAATGGCGCGCACACTTCTTAACAAGTTGCCAAGTCAAAATTTCGCCTTTCAAAGTATGGCTCATACTCAAAGTCCTCAGCACTTTCTTAAAATCACTAGGCACACAAGTAACAAACTTATCCTTAAGAGTCTTGCTGTGGTTTACCTTGCGTCGCGGGAATGCGAGCCGGTACAAGCGCTCCAGACGATTGCTAAACATGTGCATAGCCTCACCTTTTCTGTAGCGAGCCTTTGTAAAATTCTGCCTGTCCTTCTCCTTGCGTAAATACTTCATGTCATCAAACCACTCGCATAACTTTCTCTTTACATCATCGTACGAATCATCTACGTCCCTAAGTGAAGTGAATGCTTCTAGAGTTGTGCCATCCAATTTCTGTTCTAGCTGACCAATCCACAAATCCTTGCTTCCTCTAAAGTTATCGGCACAGAATGCTTCGAAACGTCGCAGGTAAACTCTCAACTGCTGTCCTGAATCTTCGTCGAACTTTTCCAACGGTGGCGCTTTCCTGTTGTCCAGCCTGGCTAGCATTTCAATCCACTAATTAGAGCCAAGTGGAGGTATTTCCGATGCTTCTGCCTTCTTGTTCACGATCTCATTCGGCAATACAGGGTCTTCTACATCAGACGAATCGGTATACTCCGAACCAGAATCGCCACTTGTTCCTAAATCAACTGCATTGTTATCATTGTCTAACTCGAGCCGTTTCACAAAGTCTTTCTTCTCCTTAATTTTCTCACGAGTCACAGGGTGGAACAAAGTACCCCAAGTGGTGCGGAACTCTGTCAACAGATTTCTCGACTCAACCGGTAAACTCTGTTCTACTTTCATCACATTTGTTAAAAAATTTTCCATATATAGAAGATTTTCTTTAATAAAATTTTCCTCTTCTCTGTCGCATAAAATATTCTCACGATCTCGCGACGTCGAGGGCATTACACTATTTAGATCCTCCATGATTGTCAACGCAGATATAAAGAATGACACAAAAACACTTCCAGTATAGGGTGATTAGCCCGAGCTTCTGAGGAAAGCCTCCACTTGTCTTCAAGTATCACAGAACTCACATTTGGAGCACAAAAGAGACTACCACCAGCACGTATCAATGACAGATCTAACCACAGTGTTCCACGACTAAAGTCACGGCACCATTATGTTGGGGTCATCGACACACCAACTCAGCCTACATGATCGTATAGGGTCATTTTCACTGATAGTCTTTAATTAAAATCACTTTATTGCACAATCTGTTTCAGTATATACAATCCACTGTAATATACACATTCACGTGCTGGTCAACTGACGAGAAGATGACTAATTAAGTCTCGAGTTAGAGTCTCTGGTTTGAGGCTTTCCTAAAAGAGTAAAATGAACAATAATTAAACTTCTAACTAGTAAATACAGTAATGAATATACAAATCAAATAATGGAACACACATATAGTATATACATCGATTCAAATCATTTTCACCTATCACAATTCAATAATACACGTCAGGACCTAACACACTACGTACCTCCGCTCGGGCTTCACACCGCACAATAATCTAGCAGCAACTTACACCTTCCGCATTCCGACTTCCGTAAAGTCTAAACTAAAATGGCATTGAGCAATTTCACAATAATTGACGAATCCCAAGTAAAATAACACGCAAGATAATAAAATACAAGCTTATACCTCAACAACATTTTTCACTCAAGTTACAAAACACCTTTTTCTGATTGTAAAGAGTTTTATATCAAGGCCTAAACTAATGGAATGCATTAGAATTACTTAGTACTGTTATATTAGAGACGTAACTAAGTTGAAATATAACTTTTAATAACATTAATCAGACACTTTCTCAGCGATCGGACCAAAATTATAGCTTCTAGAATTTACATGGAATATCAGATTAAATGCAATACATGAAAGCTTCGGTTATAATGAAATAAGAATTCTATTCTGCAAGTAAGATATAATCACTATTATTTAATTTATTAATCAAATGCTCAATTCGATTTTCTTCCGTAATAAAAAAGTGATAAAAAGGATTGCTTTCAGTACGAAAGGAACGGAACGATGGGAGTACTTTTTCTTAGAAATAATGAAATCAATAACGGGATTTTATTCGGTAATAATGCAATGATAAAACAGTTTCCGCTAAGTGAATTTGATAGCCAAAATCTAACCTCGGGATTACAGGATTCTACCATTCTCGCAACTTTAATGTAAAAAACACGATTTAATTGATATGAATAGCGTGCAACCACGTTAACAGTCAATTAACCTCTAACGATGTCATGGTGTCTCAATTAATTTGTTGACACCACGTTAATAGTCAATTAACCTCTAACGATGTCATGCATGGTGTCTCAATTAATTTATTGACACCTCTTAACGGTCAATTAACCTCTAAGGATGTGTGTCTCAATTAATTTATGGACACCACATTTACAGTCAATTACTCTCTAACGATGTCATGGTGTCACAATTAATATATAAACTATTGAATCTCTGAAAAGCCTAAAGCGTCAGACAGAATTAGATTAAATATTTTCTGCCTGAGCTTTGGACTAAAGCTTAAAATATAGAGGATCAATATCCATAATTTTTAAATCGAGAGAAGACCTGAAAGAGAGGAGTGCTCAAAGGATCATAGCTTAATCTCATAAAAATCATCCAGTTTGTTCAATCAAATGGAGATCAAATGACCGCAAACAAGCGAATGATGAGAAAGATAGCGTGTAGGTTATTCAATCGATTTTTATGTTATAGGTCAGCTCGGTCTAGCTTTTAAGTACGATAACCAATATGAATTCAAATGAAAATAAAACATAATACCGCATTTCACACATGTAACAATTTTTTCTATTCATCAGGTGTAATTTTCATTTTGTAGTGTTTTCTGAAATACAGCGTTGGGTATAACGGGAAAAAACGCGGAGAAATAATTTTAAATTTTTACATTTTCATACCACATTCATATCAATGAAAAAAACATCGTATCCAAATAGAGCGAAAAAACGCTACATGCTATCACAAAACCTGCTCGATTAATGCTTCACGGTACAGCCAAGCTACAGCAAGCACTGAAATAAAATCAAACCTCATGCTGCAAGTGAACGTAAATATCGCTTGTGAGTCTCACAAATATGAGGGCTTTGTGCTGGACTTCGCAACTTTTGCAATCCACGAAGCAGCTTTTTCTGGCCTGGAAACTTGGCCGTCGCTGTCACAAGCAATGACGCAGGTCGAGAGAAAAAAAGAAACAGACAGAAATTTATAGCTCAATTTGTCGAAAAAAACTAATGAATGTCCAAGATATGTCAGTGCAGTCTGAGGGAACTGTTCACGCCTCACTGCAAGATTCCTTTCCTTAGTCTGANTCCTTCCCGTAGTCTGAGGGAACTGTTCACGCCTCACTGGAAGAGTCCTTCGCGTAGTTAGAGGGAACTCTTCAAGAATAAATATAATAGTCTCGTGACGTAGTCTCAGGGATCAATGAAACGAATAATGAGATCAATCTTACCTCATCATCGTTACATTGGGCCAAAATATAAAATTTTATAACATCCAAATTCACAAGTTTTCTGTAATTTTTTTGGTCCACTAAGACTTGAATGTTGCTGCGCTGTTCAGGTTAAAACTTAAAATCTGAATCCTTCCGGTTGAACCAATTTATAACTCAATTGTGATCTGTTCAATAATTCAGATTTTGGCGCTGATTTCAGTATAATCAGTATTGGATTTATCTGAAATTGCGACCAAAATAATTTCTATATCCAATCACTTGCAGTTGCTAAGTTTTAGCTAAAATATTTTCTCTAGCGCTGCAATTATAATTGCTCGCCATATATTATGTATTTATCTCATCATTCTGTTCATGCACTCCAGGCGTATTCTAAATCTTACTGACATCATTCCGTAGGAAAAATTCCGTAGTAAAGTTGTTACTGAAGAAAGCATTGTGAAAAGAATTGTATTTCAACAACACTTGATCACATATTTACGGTTCCGGTTTCTTCAGCAACGAGTGACGTTGCCTTCCGCGTTCTCGTTTCCCCCAATGGCTTGACCGGCATCGGTTGAGCCGTTTCCATTTGTCCACCAGCATCGGCCAAGCTTTTATCAGGCATCGGTCACGTCGTTATTATTTGTCAACATTTGGAGCAACACCGACGTTACGTGATAGATGTTTGGCGATTTCGACGGTCAGCTAAACTTTTCTCAGTCCTCCCTCGGGAGGAAATAAATTCAGGACGAAGAAAAATGCGACAACGAAGCTTCAGAAAAGGAGTCGATGAAGATGAAATTTTCGAGCGAATAATTTCATCCGATGTGATCGAAACTTACAAATGATAACAAAATTCAGTAAATTTAGTTTGAAAAAAATTCACAGTTCAATTTTTCCATGTTCTCTTCGGTATAACAATAAAAATAACCTATGAACCATTATTATGGATGACGCCTGGATAACCACAATAGAGGATAGACCATCATAATCCAGAGACCATGTTAATGAACCTGTAGCCCTTTTATTGAGACTGTGAACATCTTAATGAGCCAAGGTCATGTTAATGAACCATTGGCCATGTTAATGAACCAGTGACCATGTTAATGAACCAGTGACCATGTTAATGAACCACTGACCATGTTAATGAACCACTGACAATGTTAATGAACCACTGACAATGTTAATGTACCTCTTACAATGCTTATGAGCAAGTGACCACATTAATGAACCAGTCACCATGTTAATGAGCCTATGAATATGTTCATGAGCTGGTGACCATGTAAGTGAGCCTGTGACCAATGAACTTTTCCAAACGCTATATCTGCACAAATAATTATCATGCTATAGAAGGCTCCAAAACATTTTTTTGTTATAAATACTGCCTCATAAATTGATGATAAACATTTGCGGTAGAAATTTTTGTGGTTGAAATGGCTCGACCTTGGATCTTTGCTCGATCTTTTGTTTTTTTGAAACAAAATTAGAAATGTCTCGATGTTGTTACGCAGTCAGTGACAATTATTTACAATTTCACAAACTTTCAGTAATACCAGTTATATCACATTGAAATAACTTCTACACACATCATTTATGCTATTCTTTTTCATGAATGTTTTTATTGGAGACTTTGAAATACTATTAAATTTTATTCATTTGCCTCTGACGGTGTAACATCTTAAAACAATTAATCATGGTGGAAAGACCGCATAGTTTTTTTACCTTTGCTAAATTTCAACCGTGCCAAGGTCGGGTTAAAATTTATTTCTAAAGTTCGGTCAGTCATCAACACGTTTTTGCCCTCGAAACTTTTAATAAGTAATTCTTTGAAGCTTCGCTATTCTAAATTTGCATCGCTGCTACGGAACTCCATTTAAAGTTTAGCCTCTCGCGCATACCAGAGTTTGTTTAGGTCGCGGAGAAAGTCTTTCTAAATGTTGCTTGCTGAGCGAAAATATGTTGTTGTTATAAGAGCCTCGAAAGCAAACTTATAAAAATCGTATGCAAGTGATCACTAAATTCAACAGGCCATGGGTATATTTCTTCAGTGTCGACACTTCTATTCTATTCTAATTCATTTAGAGCTGCAAGAAAATTTCTTTGAATTAAAATTCAAAAGATTGTTCATAAGTTGAAAATTATATTTCCTTAATAACATGAATATAGTGAAATAAAATTTGTGTTAAAGTTTCCTTCGCAATTTTCATGCCAGATTTAATTTGCATCTGATTAAACCAACATTTGCAATAATCCATACAGTAATAAAACGCTACTACTAACATATTGTTTACATATTTGTTTACCTTTACCTTTTACAAGTAAATCATTATACGGAAATTTCAATGGTAAATTTACAAAAAGTTCTCCTTTAGAGAATGCAGTTTAGTTGTCATTCCGATTACTTGAAAATCAATTTCCTAGAAAGTTAAGATCACAAAGATGTTGAAAGCGCAGTTCACTAGGCACTCTTAGTATAACAAGTATCCAGTAAACTAGAAGCTCCGGTTAACTGAGTGATCTGTTTACATAGTATGGAGGTAATTTGTAATTCCAATTAACTAAGTACGCTGTAAAATTGTATGGTAGATTTTACGGTGCGCTCCAATTTACAATGCACTCCAGAGAATTGAAAATATCCGCATTAACATTTAAGCCTCGTTGAAAATCACTCGATGAAAAACTGAATGACAAATTAAGCTAATTTTATGTTCGTCACGAGTGGCTAATGTTGAAATCAACGCAAAATCAACGTGAAAGTCAAGCAAGCTCGTATCCATGATACGAGTGGACATCAATACATACGAGTGGATATACATCAATATTTAATTTGGTTTTCCTATTAGGAATTAATGCAGACAGCGACCCTAGACGATCAAAATTCAAGTTTTTCTCATGCTCTTTTATTTTTTATGTCATTCCCGAATAAAATTGGAAGAGAATGATTGACACTACTGCATATTTGCTCCGAGGATAAATATCTAAATAAACACTATGTCGATATTCGGCGAATTTCCTACCTATCTTTTTATATATTAAAAACAATTCGTTAAATTCAATGCACAGAGTTTACAAAGAAACTTTTGATTGTCGATTGCCTGCACGCCGCACATATTTGAATATCAAAAAGAGAACATTTTCAGACCCGGCATGTTTCTAATTCATTTATTGAAACAGTCAGAACAATGAACGCCAGCATGCGTTCTTCTAATTGTGATAATTTTATCATTTCGTTATCAAATATAGTGAATAAACAAAACTCTTTTACTAAACTTTGCTCGCAAACGTTAGGCCACTATTTTAAACTCCCAATTGAATTTGTTTTCTTAGAAAAATTCAGTTAAATTTTATTCATTGAAACGAGATAAATTTATATTGGTCTCCAATTTGATTTAGTCATGCTGAATGCAATTCGAAATAATTTTGTTTGAAAGCGACGAATTAAACTTTGTCTTTAGCTAGCGTTTCTCACAAAATTATTTTTACATGACTTTTTCACAGCAGTGCAGATGTAAATACTGATCCACTCAAAGTGATTTAAGTAGAACGATGCTGCCAACATAATCATATCTTTATAATTATTATTATACAATAATTTTTTATATAATAATTAGTTTTATAATTATAAAATTTTTATACTTATTATTATTCATAATTATTTCCAATGGTCTTTCGTTTTTAAGGAAATTCGTTTCGTTTTAAATGAATTTTCAATTCAGCTTACGCATTGGATTGATCGGGATCGGCAGCTTTTAAAATAATTTATATTCTGTTGATTTTTTCGATGAGCCATATTTATTTGTTATATTTGAATCAACAAGAGCATCGGATGCACAAGGCTTTAATTAAAATGTGTTTCGGTCGGTGCTCCTAATAAATATCGAAATTATAACTTTTTGCTCAGGTTTCTTTCACTAAAGCTTGTGTTCCCAACGGCAGGTTGTGGTGCTACCGTACAAGGACGTCCCAGCGAACGGAAGGCCCATTGTGAGATTATTTATTTTATGAATAACAATAATAATAAGGATTATTGCAGTAGAAACTCTATAAGTATATTAAACTATCGTCTATATCAACAATTAATCTAATTATATCCATTTTTGAAAATGCAGCTTTTTTAAGCAATTACAACAGTTGCAAATGTAAAAATTTCATTAGAGGTAATAGAGAAGTGAAGTTTATCAAAAAACTTCCACGATTTTGTTGCTAAAAATTAAAGTGGTGTGAAAAACTCAGTTATGAATTGAACAATAATTAGATATAGTAGTGCATTCCAATAAAGAAGTCTGTTCTATTTCACCAACAAGCATAGCACGGTAGCCCGGCCTCATGGGATCACTTATCACGGGAAATTTGGATTCATACGCTCCTGCATACCGTTATAGGGATAAAATAAACTTGGTTAATCAATAAAAATCATTTAAACCCACAGTTTACAAAGAACTGACTTTTGTCTTCTGTTTCTAAATAGGATAATACTATTTTAGAACTATTATTTTATATTTATACATCTCAAAATGAAATTGAATTTCAATTTTTGATCCAATTCTTTCCCCTCAGATTTTGCAATGCCTCATTATGAAAAAAAAATCAGTACACGATAAGGATCGCGTATGCGGGCTAACACATATTCTGTCATATACATGTAATATAGTGCTATCGATGTATATGTATTAAATTCACACTCTATTCATATATATCCAAGCTAGTATTTATTTGCAATAGAACCTCGCATGCTTGACGGTTGTTCGTTGAAAGCTAAATTCAATTTCTTATGACGACCCTCGAATTCAGTTTAAAAATTCAAATTAATTTCGAAATAGCCCCTCCGATGAGCCCAATCTTGCGACGCAAGTTATGAAGTGTGTCGACAACCCAACATAACAGCAGCGATGACGGCAGACCATACGATAGCCTTTAAAAAGCCCAACATAACAGCAGCGATGACGGCAGACCATACGATAGCCTTTAAAGAAGCCCAACATAACAGCAGCGATGACGGCAGACCATACGATAGCCTTTAAAAAAGCCCAACATAACAACAGCGATGACGGCAGACCATACGATAGCCCTAAAAACCAGACATGACAACAGCACAGACGGCAATAACAAAGTATGGCCTTTAAATATGTGAACATTGCTAGCTTTCTTCTTTATAGATAATCAAATCCTTTTAAAAAATGGAACGGGAATCCACCAAGTTTTGTTCTCCGGATGTGATGTTCTAACGGGTACAACCTGCAACCATACTTTCATAAATAACGCTCGGCTCAGTTGAATCCAATTCAGTTCATTATTTGCAGAATCCAGTTAGTTAATTTATAATTAAATAATCATAATTATAATAAATTCAAATCATTTAGGTAAATGAGTATTCTTCATACTCCAACTCGTGTCAATTTATTGAAGGGAAAGTGCAATTTTCCCGCAAATAGTTTTGACTCAAACATTTTATGCAACTCTATTATGTATTATACCATAGAAATCTAATCTAGGTTGTCGATAACACCGCACTTCTGCTCAATTGCAGACGACTTCAAATGACGACGAAGAGAACGTCGCAGTGTACGTCGTACGTTCATCCCCACCAGATCAGGAGGGACGGAGATTTGACGTCGACCGTTCGAGAAACGTACGAGTTTGGCACGAAAACAACGGGGCCACGGGCCATACCAACGTACATGCAATGCGTCAGGATCCTATCAGCTACGCACGTAACTTGGACGGTAGGATACAACAGAATATTCAAGGGGACAATTTCGTAGGATGGCGAGATGGCACGCGCATGCGCAGAAGTAGAAATTCTTCCAGTAAAGATACCATGAAATCTAAAGAAGATAATACTTCACTGGAAGAAGGTAATGGAGGGTGGCGCGGTATAACTGGAGCTTCGTTAGCGCAAAGAAGAATGAGAAGCAATGAAAATAAAACAGGTAATAGAAGTCAGTTCAGTGAGTTAACGAATGATTCGGATGAAAAAAGTGACATGAACATAAAAAATAAAGAAATGGCAGTTAGTGACAAAAGTGGCACGAAAAACTTAAGCCAAGAAATCTTTGGAAGTGAAGACAAAATCGGGATTAAACTCCCAACCGGGAAAAAGGAAGAGAGTAGGATAGAAGATATCAGCGGAAGCGACGGCGAACGTAAGGATAAAAGCAAAAGTAAACTGCCAACTGAAAGACGAGAAGAGAATAAGATCAAAAAAATAACCGGAAGCAGCGACTGGAGGGGCATAATCCTTCCTCTCAACCAGAGTGCAATGCAGCGCGCGAAGCTTGACTCAACCCTCGATAAATTCCAACCGAAGGCAGGGGACCGGAGCACTGGTCGAGCCGATGGTGAGATCTACTCTGCGTGTATATGTTCCAGGAAGTTGTTACATCATTAAAAATTAATAACGGATTAAAATTTTTCTAGTAGCTTGTATGATGGTTGCCAAGTTTCATTTTATCGCTTTAGTACTTCCGAGTTCAATCCATGAATTCGTTTTTTATAGACAATATATTTTTAAGCTTAGGCATTAATTATGGAGAACTGAAATAACGAGGCTGCAGTAAATTTTAAAGTATTAAAAAACATTTAATTAAATTTGGAGGACTGTGTTTCAGGAGCGTCATTGGATGGTCAGAGTTCTACAGTAGATGCCAACAGGAATGCTGAGAAATCTACACTGAAATTCATCGGGAATGAATCGGTAATGAAAACTAGCCATCAAGTATTCTATCGAAAATTGTAGCTGTCCATAGAAAGACTTAACTTCCACTCGAATATGTAACTTGATCGCCACTAATTTGTTCTGACCAGGACCATGAAATTCCAATAGAAATAGAAGTATTCCGACTTAAAGAAGAATATGCACATAAACTTTATACTGGAGGCCAAGCGGCTAATTTCTGCTTGAATACGTTTTTTCTTTGAACAAGTTATTCGCATCTGAATAGGTTAATTAATTTAAAAGTGGCAACTCTGCCAGAAGCAATAATTCTACAAAAAGATTTAATTCCATTACAGTTGAATAATTTCTTACGAGTGAATGATTACAATCAAAATATATAATTCTATAAACTCGAGCGCGATTCTACCGCAAATGTGTAACTAATTCAAAATTACGCAATTCTGTCAGAAAGAGCGTATCCATTAGTATAACGTAATTCAATATTCAATTTTCAAGAATTTGTAATGTATCAAAACATTCTTTAGTTTTGTGGTCGAAAATAATGAAATCCGTTACCTTATTAAAATAACTGAAACTTTTATCAATCACCGGACGACAGTGGAAAAGTATGAATAATTTCACCGGACGACAGAGGAATGGTACGAATAAATTCAAGTTTTAACTAAACTTATTGAGTTTTCTGCTGTGCAGCACAAGAGGACGAGAAGGTCAGCTCAACGAATAAGCGTCGTGAACAGGTCAGGTTCAATATATAATCAAGGAACATTTATTATTCATATCATGCTCCAAGTTCCACTGTAAAAACCAGGATCAAAAATTCTTGAACCCAATTATTGCAGTTCATTAAACAAAAAAGCTACATTAATTAATGAGCAAACAAGATTCATTGAGTTCTTACCAATTAATTTCGAAACGGGAAGTAGTTCAAGTAGCGTAATTCAACCTATTCGTTTAATTTCACTGAAGAAGTCTTTCCCAGCTAAATACTTCGGCCGTCCCACGCGTAATTATTACTTGATTGAATTTAAGTAATTTGTCCGAGCATTTTCCTGGATGTCTGCACTGGAACTCTTCTAATTTTCCGACATAGCCCTCAAGAGTGTTCATTTTTTTCAATGCTTGGAGCAATTTTTTTTTCGCTCCAACTTTTAATTAGAAGGACGGCGGAAGTCCAAGCGAAGTTTCTTCTAATTTTTTTACGGTATAAAAGTGGGCAAAACGACGCGGTATCTTGGACTCAAATTTGGAAAAGAGTAGCACTTATTCTGTTTTTATTATTATAAAGAAGTTTTTTTTACTATGTCATGCTAAATCGATGTGATCTGCGATGTGGGAGTCTAAATTAAATTTAATAAATTACAGGGGATAATTGTAAGTGGATTGTGATTAGCAAACAATTAAAGGCAGTTAACAAATCCCAAATCATAATTATTCCAAAAACAATGAATAATTTGAGAAGATTATTGTACTTGCCTTAATCAGGAAAATAAAGGCCTTTGACAATGATAAAAAAAATTCTGAAACAGTATGGGTAAAAAATTTCGACGGCCTTTGAAAATTTTGTAAAATTTCCCACAATTATTATAAAACCGATTTAGTCTCCATCATGCGAGTTAGTCAAATTTCGGACAAATATTAATTGAATTCATTCGCATTTGTTATAAGTTATAAAGTCTGGAACAAAGAATCATAAAAATGACCTTCTTTGATGCTCATGGTAGGCACGACGAATTGCTATAGAGCTTTATATAATGATTTATAATTTTGAGAATAGCATAGACACCGTTAGCTGCGCAAAGTTTTAATAATTAATGCAGTTTTAGTTCTCTGATATTATTCTTTTAGTTTTTACTTATTAATTTTTTCATATTTTATTACCTTTCTTAATTTTTCTTTGCCTGTTTGTACTATGTATAGCCTTTTCATGATAATATTTAATGAGGTATATAGAAATGAATTAAATAATGCACACACGCATTGTGTAACAAAGACCCTAAATTACTGAAAATAAATTAGGAAATTTGCAATTCAGCCTACAACAAATACCACGGCTGGAAGCAACAAAAGACATTGTTGCAAATTAAGCTAAGGCTTAAAGTCATTTCAAATAATTTTAAATCGATTGTCCAAACTTACTTATAAAGCAATATTTTTTTAACAAAGGCCACAAAGGCGGAGCAAAAAGCCATCCCATTAAAAACACCGCAGATTACTTAAGATCTTAACGCGCTGCTACGAAATTGCTCGGACATTTTCAGGAGGTCTTAATTAAAGTGGCCTAAGAGCTAAACTCGCGATATCAACAATGAAACTTAGAAGGCAAATTTGGCCCTCGAGACTTTCAGGAAAAGCCCACGGTAAGTTCGGGGAAATACTTGCGCTGAAAGTCTTGCACTTCAACACGCAGTGTTATTTCGACACAATTTTAACACACGAGTTTAAATGTTATTTTTTTCTTTTTGCAGGCAAAATTGTAAGGTTAATGCACTATCGCGGACAAATTATTCGATAGAACAGGATGTGTATTAAATATAATATGACGATAATTAGATTATTTTTAAAATGAGAGAATTAATTTCGTTAAATATTATTGTTAACGTAATTTTAAATTTTAATGCAAGCTAAAAAAATTAAAAGTTGGCATATTAAAAAATATTAATGATGTATGACAGTGATTCACTTTTCTGCCCTCTTTCATGGTAATAATGATCTGACATACCCAGGAAGCAAATAACAATTAATCAAGTGCATTTAATTAATAGTAATCACAATCTAATTAAATATTTCATCTTCGCTTGCAAGTGTTTGAGCTCCCTGACTACGCATCTCGAGACCCGTAGAATTATTGTTCGCACTTTACCGCAGTAAAATAATGGGTCGTATTGTTCAAATAATGACCTACTTTCTGCAGGCAGCACTAGTACATCCTTTTATCGGGCCAATCTGGGTTACGATGACCCACAAGAGTGTAGAAAGTACATCGCTGTTTAGACAAGCCAATTCCAGCCTTTATTTGGCCGTCGAAAACTAAACTATACAATAGGTTTTATGGTCCTAACTATTCATTGGTTATTATTGTATCTTTTCTTACTGGGATTTTGTTTCCTATGCTTTTTTATTTCATTTCGAAAGATACATTGTTACATATATACAGTGGGGGGAAATAAATATTCGTACACTTGAAAAATCGTATTTTAATGTATTTAAGTACACAAACTTAACAGGAAAAGTGATTTAAATTATGTACCAGCAGGATAACGATCCTAAGCATACTGCAAGATCCACAAAGAAATGGTTCGCTGATAGAAATGTACACGTTATGGAATGGCCAAGCCAGTCGCCGGACTTAAATCCGATTGAAAATTTGTGGCTGTATTTGAAGATTCAAATTAAGAAAAGGTCCCCAACAAACAATGAGAATCTTAAGGTGGTGTGCCAAGAAGAATGGTATAAAATACCAGTAAGCATCTGCAAATCATTGGTCGAGACGTATAGAAATAGACTGGTGTCTGTTGAGCTGAATAAAGGGTATTCAACCAAGCATTAAATTAAAATAATGCGGATTTATTGTTTTGTACGAATACTTTTTTCACCCCGAAAAGTGAACATGTTGCATTGTTTTTTGTTGCATTGAGATTTAATTTCTTTTGATAGTATTTTTGAATACTATGCGTCTCTATACATAATTTAAATCACTTTTCCTGTTAAGTTTGTGTACTTACATACATTAAAATACGATTTTTCAAGTGTACGAATATTTATTTCCCCCCACTGTATTTCACTCTATTTTGAAAAGTTTTTAATATTTGTATTATTATTTGCATGACAATAATTACTTCTTTCATTATGTCAATGCTCCTCTTACGCAATGACTAGAATAATTATTATGCAGTGACGAATTTTCCGCTAACGGTCAAAATTATTTAACAAATAAGCTTATTTTATAGGCAGTGAGCTGTGTGTTTATTATATAAACACATTAAAAATTTAAAGTATTTTTCAGAAGATATTTAGAACTCCATATCATCTGTACAAGAATTATTAACTTTTGTATGAACGAAAAATTTAAACAATTATGTTATTAATAATCACGATATTTCAGACGCAGCGCAGACGCGCCCGCCCGGATGCATTACTCAGAAATTTACTCGCCCGCGAACGACTCTTATTTTTACGACATGTCCAGGGACGGAGAATCAGCAGGGTAAGCATTTCTTTAGAATTACGTCCATAAATGGTACCGGACATGTAAGCAATTATTAATTGATCAATGACAATTAATATTATGACCTATTTTTTTAATATGAATATTTTTGATGTTATAAGAAACGGATGAGCTTACTTACAAATTTTTAGATGACGAGGAAAACGAGGGTCAAACTTTCCTATGGAAATGACGATAATATTTTTTCATCGCAAATCCAATCATATTTTCCAAAATTAGTTCCCTTCATCAAACGGTAATTTATTTCAATCCTTGCATTTTTCTGTTCTGAAAATTATGGCATTTTTTCCGTTATTTCAATCATAGCATTTTTTCGTTCTGAGAAATATGTTTTCTTTGAAATTTAATGCCCAGTAAACAAGAATTTAACGACACGTCTGGAGTCGAAGGGATTTCTGGGGTAACTAACAAATTATTCGTCTGGTCATAATACTGGCTACTGGCGACCACCGCTTCGCGAAATAGCAATAATTATAATTTGTGTCATGGTCGTCTAGCATTATGAGTGAGGTTTTGTGATGATTTTCAATCAGATATTTTTTTACAGGGATTTTGTGAAAACAACGTTAGGATCAACGAATTGAATTTGCTGTATACAATGAATTCATTGACATCTAATCGGGATAAGGTTTATCTCTTGATAGTAACAGGAATACTGAATCCTGTTACAGGATTCAGTCTAAAAATCATGAGTGAAGTGTCTTACATGATATCGATTAATAATATAATAATACATATTACATTTCTAAGTAAAGAAAAATTTTCATTTGAACACATTTGACGACGAATATTTGTTGAAAAACTTATTCACTGAGCAATTGAGCTGCAGATTTAATTGTGTTGCTGTTACACGAGTTGCAAAATGATGAAAAAGTGATGTCTCTAAATTGAAGCAGTCTACTCGTAAACTAATCATTTTCTACGTTTCCCTAGAAAACTTATCTGTATTACAAGAGTAACTATTTCAAAGTTCCAGTGGACCGAACAATAATTAAGAACTTATCTCAGCTGAGACAAATCTCACTCAATTTGATAATAAATTTCACGGAAATAAATCCCTCGGAAAAATTTGTTCATGAATAAAATAATATCGAAACATTTGATGACATTTGACTCCTAAAGAAATCCGACACAACAGACATAAGGCTTATAATGGCTTATTCCCTTGTAGAGCAAGGGAATTCCATAAGGCTTATTCCCTTGTAGAGCAAGGGAATTGAAGGGATTAATAACTTTGATGACATAACAACAAATTAGGTTGATTATTTAACAATTGAATATTTCTACTGACACTTTATTAGAAATCTTAGGTGCTAAGGTGTTCAAAATTCTGAAAAATTTTCAGCCAATAATAGAAGTATTGATGTCCGCAGCAAATAAGCTAAATTTGGCCAGTAGACGATTCTAGATATCTCGTGACTTTTGTCAGCCCTACGTGTGATACGTGTAACGTACAGTACATTTCCTCACCTCAGACACGTGTAACGTACACATGTCCTCACCTCAGACACGTGTAACAAACACATGTCCTCGCCCCAGATACGTGTAACGTACACATGTCCTCACCCCAGATACGTGTAACGTACACATGTCCTCACCCCAGATACGTGTAACGTACACATGTCCTCACCCCAGATACGTGTGTGAGAGCCGTGTACGTCACCTAGAGCCGGCGTGGGGGGAGACCGTGCAGGGCGAGGTGCTGGAGATAGTCCACTCGGGGGACCTGCCTCAGCATCTCGCCGTCGAAGTCTGCAAGTACGAGAATATTATTCTAATATTTTTATATTATAGGTATTTAAAATAATAATTTGGAAGCCTGCAGCTACGCAAATATTATTCTATTATAACTATTTAAAACAATAATTCGTGAGTGGAAGTCTGCAAATACGGAAATATTATTCTAATATTTTTATATTATAACTATTTTAAACAATTATTCGTGAGTCGAAGTCTGCAAGTACGCAAATAACAAATTTTTTGTATTATAACTATATAGAATAATAATTCGTGAGTCGAAGTCTGCAAGTACGCATATATTATACTAATATTTTTTTATTATAACTATAAAGAATAAAAATTCGTGAGCCGAAATCTGCAAGTACGCAAATATTGTAGAGTTTGTGATAATTCACATCACAATAATTCGTGATGTGAGTAGGCGAGCGTTAGTAATTGAATGAAGCATACAAGTTGAATAATGTACATGTCGATCAGTGTGGGGATGAAACTATGATAGATATTTGAAATTATGAATAATTATAATTAACTGTGGCCTGGCATGGAAAATGCCTTGAGTGGGCGAGTAAGTGAATATGATTACGGTATTACAATCGATCAAAATGACGAGCAATTAACTGGTAATTTCATTATTTGTAAATTAATACCAAGATTCATATTAATTCGATGTAAGAAATGGTTTCGTTATGCAAGTAATGCAAAAAAAGGACATTAACTATTCATTTTAACTATAGATGTTTGTTGGTTAAGAATATAAAAGAGTTTTAAATGTGCTTGAACTGAATATTAATTGGTATTGCTACGGTTGAATAAAATCAATAAAACTGAGTATATATAACCTAATTGATTGCTAGGAGAGGACATATTAAGTAATTCTTACATAATTTATAAATCGAAAAAAAAATTAAATAAATAAAGGAGTAATTAAAATAAATTTCAGCACAATTGTAAATCTGTCATTAGTTAGATTAATTTAGTTAATTTTATTAATTACTTGATTCATTTATGCTAATACTCAAATAATTAGTTATTTTACTGTAGCACACTCCATCGAAAAGATTTTCAAATATTTTGCACAAGTGACTTTTTTTGTAAAATCATTCAAAATTTCTTTATCTCTGATTGTCATCTATCTGATTGTCTGATTGCTGCTTCGATTTTGTCGCACCTGGTCTGATTGTCATCTCAACTGTCGCTTCTAACGTCTAATTGTTACATAGATTGTCACTTACCTCGTTTAACTGTTACATAGATTGTCACTTTCTTCGTTTAATTGTTACATAGATTGTAACTTCCCTCGTCTAATTGTTACATAGATTGTCACTTTCTTCGTCTAATTGTTACATAGATTGTAACTTCCCTCGTCTAATTGTTACATAGATTGTCACTTTCTTCGTCTAATTGTTACATAGATTGTAACTTTCTTCGTCTAATTGTTACATAGATTGTCCCTTCCTTCGATTAATTGCTACATGGGTTGTAACTTCCCTCGTCTAATTGTTACATAGATTGTAACTTCCCTAGTCTAATTGTTACATAGATTGTCACTTTCTTCGTCTAATTGTTACATAGATTGTAACTTCCCTAGTCTAATTGTTACATAGATTGTCCCTTCCTTCGATTAATTGCTACATGGGTTGTAACTTCCTTCGTCTAATTATTGATCATGCCTGATCTGGTTTGATTTGAAAATCTGTACCAGCGTTGTCAATAAACATGATTCTGTTGAAATACAAGAAAAAAATATAACCAAATAATCATTATAAGAAAGTTTTTGCAAATTTTACTCTCGAGATTATTGAATTCCGAGCTCATCGTCGTGGGTTGCTTGATGAAGAAGAAGGTGTGAGTACCACAATGAAATGTAAAATTTAGCGGGTGCCTGGTAAGATTCGCTATTGCAGAAATTTACAACACTCAAGTGTTGCGAGTAAACCTTTTCGACTTACATTGTGAATTTTCCAATTTTAAACGTCATACAATTTGGCTAATTTTTTCGATGGAATTTTCTAGACGGATACATTGAGCATCCGATAAACGGGTGGATGATATTAAATATTTAATGTAACGGCATTTACGTATGGATTATTGTGAGCATTAATTTTCTCGCAGGTACAAGTCTGGAGGATGTGGATTCTTGGCAGCTGGGGTGCAATCCATTTGTCGACAACGCTACAGCATCCACCGACTTGCTTCGAAGGATCCATCCTCTCCTGGTGGAGGCATCATTCAAGCTGCCTTCAAACTTCCTTCTGGCTGCTTTTGCTACGTCAAAGATGACCTTCGACCAAAGAACCAGCGAAAAAACAACCACAGAAACCCATTTGACGATCCTGAATTTAGGGGCAGTGGTAGCTTCTCGCGACATCTTCGAATTGAAGGAGAAGGGAAACGTGACGAGTTTGATCAACATTACAGCGGAACTTCCGAAGAGAAGACAATCGTTGATCCAGGGTTAAACCCAGGATTTAAGCTTGACAACGAGTTTATGGCTCGACATTTTCCGTATATTAGACTTGCTGAGCAGGATGGACCACAGAAATTTCTGAACAGATTCGCAGAGTCTCGGAGTGACGACAGCGATTACATTCTGACTTTGAAAAAGGTTTTGCCGGATGGCAATGAAGTTCCCGTCGAAGTCCTAATCAATGTTGACGATAAAGGAAGACCAAGCACCTCAACTTTTGAGCTACTGAAAAAACTGAACAAGGCATTTGAGCTCAACTACAGAACATCTAAAACGATGAAATCAAGAATATTGAATGATGATTTACTGCCCTTGCCAGGCAACAACCATGATCGCAGTCCTCTACTTTCTAGAGATCAAATCTCAACTTCCTCAAACTCGGGACCAGGAGCTGTTAAAGGCGTCATTCACAAAGACCTGGGATCATCTGGCCGGCAAATCCATTATTTAGACTCAAATGAAAATGCTTCTATGGTGATTTTAGCAGACATTCTGACTCATTTACAGCAGTCAAAAAGTGGGCATGGCTTTACCGAACATTTATTGCCTCAACCTCAAGCCCTAATAAATATTCAAAACCACGAACCTTCACAGTTGACATTCAATGATGATTCGCTATTACCTTCTCCTCGTCATGCTTTGAATGACCCGTTGAGTGACAGTACCTTGAAGCCGAAAATTCCGTTTTATCTCAACCATAAAGCTAATCCGACCAAATTTGTAACAACGTTTGCTCCCAAGAATAAAGCTTTTGGAAGTTTTAATCAACAACAAAATGGCTTTGATCCTTTCATTGGCGAGGTAAAAATGCCAACAGTAATAAAAAGTGTGGATTTTTCAAGAAATGACCAAGGATCTACGGTCGATGAGGATTTAGGGGGCATATTAATTACGAAAAAAGAAGGTGATAACCTCAAGGCAAGTCAGTTCTTACCCTTCAGAAATGGCCGTCAACGTCAACCTGCAACCTTCGAAACTTTCCCGAAGAACATCATCAACCTGGCGGACAACAGTTCAGATCCTTTGGGGGACCGACGGAGCAAGTCTATTGACGCGCGACAATTTTCGAGTGACGTCAAAAACGACAAAGGGGAAATAATCCGGTATATTCATCCAAGGGAAGTATTCGAGCTGCTCTCCGATCATTCAAAGCAAACTTTAATGAGGGCTCGGCAAGTTATTCCTCTGGACGAGTTCGTTAACGTTGCGGCGTCATCTAGCTTCCGGGGAGAACATGACAACGCCAATATATGGCCTTCAACCGATGCAGAATTCAGAGACAGTTATACATCCGGGAAGTCAAAGAATGGAGCTGAAAATGAATCATATTTAGACAATCTTGGGAAATCAAGTAGACAGACAAAAGACGCACAAATTTTACGACAGCATTCCAATAAATCAAAAATACATGCAAATGAAAATTTGTTCGGAAAAGTGACAGAAGCTTTCGTCGCCCCGTCTGAAAATGATTGGGTTCCGATTACACGGAAAAGTTCTCGTAAACCCGCACACGCTTCAGAAGTGCACAAAACAAACATGAATATCCACGGGGCAGCGACGAATAATTTCGCAGATTTGCACGACGGAGGGGGATTCAACAAGGATGAGTACGAACGATTAAAGAAAAACCACAAATTGTCCATGGACGGAGATATTCCTAAATTCTTCAATGAGTATTTCATTAATCAAAAAACCGATTTTTGGTCAGCATTTGCTGAGGATGACCAGGCAAAAATGCTACGCCACATAAAAAAAGAAGCGCCCAGAAACCTGGGAACAATTCCTCCAATAGACCAAGAAGACGAGGACAAAAAATCAATATTAATGCAGCAAATTCATCACAATCAGCAAGACAGCCAAGGAGGGAACAAATTTCTTTCCAATGCTGAGAATATTAAAGAAATAATTCATCTAACCTCCGTTCCCTCAAGAGCTACACAAACCCCTTTGAAAACACAAATATTTATCCTTCAACAGCCTGACGATTCAAACGCAAAGGAATCAACAAACAACAAGCTAACAAGCGTCCATCAACTAATCAATCAAAAGGTCAACCCGCAGCAGCAAATTACATTCCAACAGACGAATGTAAGACAAATTCAAGCTCCAATGCACCAAAATCAGAAAATTCATAATGAAAAAATAAAGAGTAATAAATATCAAGGAGTTCACCATTTTGATGATCAGAGTTTCCAACATTTTGCAAGCCCTCCTAGCATACAAAAATCTGAATCCGGTCCGAACGAGCTATCAACTAATCCATTCAATAGAATTATTATGAATCCCAGGAACTTGACCCCGGCTGTTGGTGCAACAAAAACGCAAGATTTTCATTCAGTTTCTTCTTTCGGGTCTCACTTTGGCATTAGCAATATGGAGGGAGAGAGGCCAGAAGATGGAATAGAAGGTAATAAGTTCTTCGGCGCTAACACTGGGAAAGTTCAGGATTTTAATGTCGTAGCTGCCGCTGGAGATGAACAACATTCAACGATTGATAATTCACATCACCATTTACTGAGTGATTTCAAACAACATTCACACAATAACTCCTCGGATAGTGTTTTATTCGGAAATTCACAGCAAATTTCAGACTCCAAAGGCCAACACTCCGTCATCCACCTGCTACCAAGTTCTATTCAAACACATGACTTAGATCATTACGTCTGGAATGACCAATATAATAAACCGAGGAATGAAGAAATCTTCACCCAATCGATGAATGAAGTTACAGATCAATCGGAACTGTCTAATTTCAAACTGTTTCAAGGCAGCAATCTAAATTTTCACTCCGTGCATTCGCCTACGGAGACAACCTTATTTCCTCTGGAACACCTCCAAAATACCAACGGAAATCCTGCCTTTAGTCAAATCGGGCAAATATTCAATTCTAATATCCAGCAACTGCAACCCGTAAAGTTTGAAATACAAGGCGATGTCGGTTCTGGTCCAACATTTACGCAAGATCATTCTACTGATTTAACGGGGTTTTCCGAGTTCCTCAGTGAAAGCGTGCAAGCTCCATCTTTCTTTATACACCAAAACGGATCCCATGCCACGGGCGCCGAAAACGTTCAACAAACAAACGTTCAAGATTCAGTTCATAGTGTCAATCAGCAACAACAGCAAGCTTTAAAAACACAAAATGCTAAGGAACTGGATAAATTATTCAGAATTGCTCATTCTTCTCATCAGCAACCCATTGAAACACAAATGATTACGCGCCAACCTGAATTGACCTCCAGCGCGACAGAAGATCAGGTGCAGCGACCAATTCTCTTCCACTACGAACTACCACCTCCTGCCCACGAGAACAACGTCGAATACTCGGTACACAGATTGATCAAAGAGACGGCTCCTTATCACTTCAATATGGCAAATATTGACAGGATTTCACAGAATATTCATCACATTCCATCCCATACAAAGAGACCAGCGCGTTCGTGGAATCCGTTTGGAATACTTGGATAACGGGAAATACATTATAAGGGATCGAAGACCGAGTAGAAACAGGGAGGAAGAGTGATGAAGACAACCAAACTGTATATTATAAAATAGAAAATTGGAAAACACTGTACATTTTATTTTACGTATAATTAAATATAATATTCACTAACCGTTGCAATTTTGTTACGATCAGAAGACCTGCACGTGAAGTCATAGGACCGATGACTGTTGATTGGAAACGAATCACGCGCTGTGCTGTGTGTTCACGATTTTCAGTTAAATGGGCCAAAATGCCTTTCCAAACAGAATTTCTTACGTTTGTTGATCATTCGTGTGGAAAAATACATATGTGTTTAAGGGGAAAGAACGGAAATTATTCCATTGTGGAGATATTCGTTTGTCAATTGCAAAAATACTACTACCAACTTTCAACGCTTGGGGCAGTTGACTTCATGTAGGCTCCTCCCGGCACCGAGATTATCTATAAACTGCTGACTTTCGTGTTTTGTTCTTGAATGAAACCTTCGAAGAAGAACACAAAGCCACTTGTGCAATGGTGAAGGTTACTACATATTCAATAAATTCCGTATAATTCGTTACGCAATTGCCGTGTATTTTCAGAATCGTCTGAGATAAGAAGTTGAGCTCGAACATTTTTGGCGCAATTAATTTAGATAATTTTTTGCTAGTATTGAGGTAAATTTCACTCAATAGCAAATATCAATCCATAAATCAAATTTACTAGCACAATTTGAAAGTAAATTATATCTATTTAAAATCCCCTTTTAAGCGTTCAATTCGAAGCAGTACTTTTCTAGAACTATAATTTTTTTAAACTTGATTAACATGAATAATAACTTTAATTCCCTACCGTCGTACCGATACATAATATCGGTGATTCTATCGATGGTTTCTGTTTTGAAGAACAAGTTCTCCATATTTACTTTTCAAATCTTCAAGTAACTTCACAGTCTGCACTCTTAAAACTATTTTTAAAAATTTTAAATTAAAATTTTTTAGTTTGATTTATTGTGTCTTTTGCGTTAAGTTTGAATTATGGAGTCGTATTGTTAGGAAAATAAAACACACGTTTAACCACACTCCGTTTTATTTTCATTTACCTTCTATTTTCATTTTATTTTTACCTTCTATTTTACCTTCTATATTTTACCTTCATTCGGCCAGAATTGAATTATAATTGAACTTGGGAGTCACTGATTAAAATTACCTATGGAACACTTATTGTTGATAAGGAACTAATAAAAATCGTACAACATTAGTAAGTGCTAGATATGAAGGAGCAGGTAAAATGGTATGCATTTTTAGTCATTATAGTGAACACGAAACAGCTAAATATTGTTAAGTTCTGGAAAACTTTCGAAGAGCCCTACAATAATAAATTAATAATAAAATATAAATAATCTTAGTTATATAGCTAATAATAATTAATTAGCCACTATATAATCTTAGCGTATTCCAGTGTGCCCAATTCACCTCAGCACTTTATAGGACCATAAGAGATAATCTTGACCCACTGGTTATGACGTCATTTCAGTTAATATTAATACAGATAAAGTGACTAATTGCAGGTTCTAACGTGGAAAAGTGACTAATTGCAGGCTCTAACGTGGAAAAGTGACTAATTGCAGGCTCTAACGTGGAAAAGCAGGCCTCTGTAAAATCACTCTAACATTTTTTAACGTTCTGGTTCTGCCTTCCGATTCAGGCAAATGATATGACCATTAGGATAAACTTTCAGATAAGCTCTAAGATTCCGATAGAAAGTGTCATTTCAAATAAGTAAAATTTGTTGAAAATAACTTTTGAAGGTGAATGGAGAGTATCGATCGATTTTAATTTCCGAGTACTTTAATTTCATCCCGACAATCAAACTCGAAGAGGATATACAAAAATGTAAAATGTACGCGCCAGACGAGCGCCGTGAGTTTCCACTAATTCTTGATTACTGGTAACGAAATTCTTGTAGAAAACTAGAAACGTCAAATGCCAGGTCGCAAAGTTTGATTTATTTCAATTAAAGGCTAATGAAAGGTTTGACAAAGCTTGAAGACAGGAGTTGAACAAGAGAATATAATAAAAAAATGGTGAAATTCGAGAATAATTTAGGATGAGTCTCAAAGGATCATCCAGTTTAATAACATGGCTGGGAGCAAGATAAGCAAATTTCTCGCCATAAAAGAAACTTTACCGTTGATGTTCTTGGGCTAGGCGCGGGAGGAGACGACGCCCGTAGACGGCGTTCCGACGCAGAGCTTCAGAACGCCGATGCCCCAGGTACGGGAACCACACTCCAGCCGAGCTGCCGCGAAGACAGACCCAGAGGCGGGCAGGGCTGTAGCCGGAACAGAGGTGTTACAGGAATGCCGCTGGACACTGGAAGTGTTCCATTAAAGCGGGAGTACCCAGAGTCACGAGTGGTGAACGAAATCTGAAGTCTCATCCAGTGATGCTTTTTCTTTAGGTTCAGCTTCAGATAGACCGGAAATGCGGATTTATATATGAAGAATAAGAGTAAAACACGCATTCTATCAGATTTTGTACACTGGGCCCGGCCGCTGCAATCTCTGCAGTAAGTGCCTAGAGATTTCAAGCTAAAATCATACCGAGCGAGGTTGGCTTTTACGCAAGGTACAAAGCTTGGCAGCTTAGCGAATAGACGATCTCTGAACGGATTTGGGAGCACATCCCTTAACAACCTGATCACCAGGTCTACTACCGCACCGTAAAAATATTACGTCAGCGACGTGACGACGAATGGTTACTGCCATGACCTCACCTATGTCGTTCTTTTCTAACTGGGTAACTAGCCCGTGAGGATAGAAGTACGGTTTCGTAAGCCTAAATCCAATTTAAACTGAATCATTAATTTTTAATTCTACACGAGACTTCGGCTCATAGGTTCGGGGCTTTGAGGAAGCCATTTCTCTTAAATTCTGAAGGATTTCTCCCCAGTAACTCTGCTGCAGATGGTTTTTAACAAGCTTCAATTTTTAAAAACGCTTAAATAAAATCTCACTCTGCACAGAACGGTCAGCAGGTAGTATGAAAGACGCGTCTTGAAGATCACCATCTTCACAAAGTAAATGGGGAATTACGGAAATGCACGGCACGTCATATCCTTTAACCAAGATCCCCGGGATGATTGAGTAATCAGTGTCACGGGATCTATTCTACGGGACTCCCAACAACTTTGAGAACTCCACGTCCTCCGCCTAGCCGCAGATTACCAGTCTAGAATGAAGTTATTTCTGAATAGCGGCAAATTGCTGCAAATTAAATCTATTTGAATTGAAAACCTCTGTTGCAACATGCACCGCTTTGCTCATATCCTGATCATCTTGAGAACTATATACGGTCAAATGAAACGATATTAGATCTTCTGTGAACAAGGCACGAAAAGGAAAAGAATCGGCGACAGGCCACATCAGGCCTACACTTCAGCGCCGAGACCAATATGTTATGTTATGTTATATGCAATATTATGCATGTAGGCCAAATTGTAGAACATGCTACGAAAGGAGCTAATCAATATTACCATTGCCTACTGTAGGTAGATAATGGTAATATTGTCTACCTACAGTAGTTAGGTAATACATTACCTACCTACTGTATTACATGATGATTATGATAAATAATACATTAATACAGTAGGTAATACATTACCTACTGTAGACAATGGTAATAAATAAAGCCAACATGAGCAATGAGGGTGAGAATCTGAACGCGCCTAAAGGAAACATGCAATAACTTGTACGCAACCAGAGAAAAATCCCGATGGCTCACATCTCTACACTAAAAGAATAGTAGTTTGTTATCTTTTGGCCGTTGACACAGCAGTAGAGAAGCCTTTTCAAGGTCAAAAATCATTAAATACTTTTACTAAACTTGAGCAATGTCATGGCTACGAACAACTTTGTATTCAATTGAGGTCCCGCGGCCGAGAAACCTGGTTGTGAGACATAGCCTCGCCCTGTTTCTTATCGCACAAATTAGACAAACAACCCGACATTTGGTGGTGTCTGTATTCTTTCATAAACACTGCGTTATGAGGGAGGAAAGAATATTCATCATTTTTTAGCTCACTCACAGGTCCTACTTCCTGAATTAAGCCGCCGGAACGTTACTGATAATAACATAATCATATTGTAAAAAATTTATCGGTATCTTTTCATATTTATTGTGAATAGATTTTAGAATAGCAAATGCAATTTAAAACTTATTAGGGAGCATATGTACCTGTATTACAGGGGGATTACACAAGGCTGGGATAAGCAGCCGTCCCTCATCGTTCCTGTAGGAGGATTTCAGAACAAACTCCGCAACGTCCCTTTCAGTTTCGGTAATTCCAGGATCAGGATTAGTGTCATCATAATCCACGATTTTACCGCAAATTTCGGCTAGTGTGTCCACTGATGCTCCTTAAAGTCCTCGGGCTCTAACTCATCGCCGTGGGAGCTCATCTTGACACAATGCACCGTCGTCTCTAGTCACCGAGAAGGCGTCGAATTTATCGATGAACTTCTTGACCAAATGTAAGTGCGGGATGCTCGCGACGAGGGAAGAAACCGATCCTGCTAGCATCACCCCTGCTGCGCTGTAATAGATCATGAATGACTTATCTGCAATACCAAAGGTGCAAGAATGAACTGGGAGAATATGAGCATAATCTACTCCGAGCAGCGCGTCAACGGTAGGTTGCTTCAGCAAGTTCTCGTCTGCGAGAGATATCCCTACTTCGCCACACATACGAATCACATCTTTCAAATATGAGCTACGTATATAATTATGCCCCAATTTCTGACATAATGGCCGCTCTGAATTTCTTCATTCTATTCAACTGCATGGGTCCCACACAGTAAAAGTTAATTAAACTTTGGACCCTTTAAAGCAATCTATCTTCATCTTAACATACTCTTGCACAATGCTACACTTTATGCGGTGCACTATCGACTGTGAAATAAAACTGCTATGCTAGGCGGGGTCGTACATAAAGCGACTGGCAAGCTTACGCTTACTCCTCACTCGAGGCAGCCTAGTCGTGATAGTAAGCAGGAGTGTAGCTGTAGCACTGTAAATCTGCAGTACATTATAAGCAATTGAGTTGGTTTGAGTCGCACTGATCTCTCTTGCTGCCAGATTAGTGCGAGTCATCTCTCGACCGTTAGCCAGGGCTTGGCACTGGCAGCAGGATTAGCTATAACTTTGCCAAAAGAGGCATCCGTCCACCCACCGTCAGCCCTCGGCTGCCCTTTACCATCCATGCATAGGAAAATAGCAATAGCATGATATTTATTACAATTCATACACCTGTCCGTAATTTATATTCACTGGAGCTAATTTTATGATTGAGGAAGCCACATTTAACAGGTCCCTGGAGGGCATTTATCCTGGTAATTTTCGCATAGGGGGAAGATCTTAAGGATAGGAACCTATTTTATGGTCACCAAAATTCGCTGCACCGTCTGATTTGCAAAGCATCCTGCTTTGTAATCGACATAATCCTGCTTTCGTAGGCAAACTGACACTGCGACAATCATAAAATTGAGTCGTCAAAACATCCCTGCCAGTAGAGCCAGTTTGTGCCATCCTAGACTTATAACTTCAAAGGAAATATCAATTTTGTCCTGCAAACAGGGTGTGGACTTATAAACAGTGGCGGTGAGTTGCTTCTTGAAGCCCTTCGACAAGCCGTTCCACAGAAATAAGAATGAAAATATTTCCATCAACTTTCAAACAGTTGGCTTGCTCAACCATCATACGGGCACCACTGACTCACTGATAAGGAGATCTGCGGTTGAACTTCAGTTTAACTTGTTCCTGAGGACGGATTATTGTTGTCCTGTTGGAGAAAACGTCAGTTAACACTTCCCTCGCCTTATAAGAGAAGTCATCGTGAGGAGCAGTCTGCTTTTTCTTTGGTAAGGTTAAATTTGCTTATACAACAATCAGCTGAAATTATGTTACGAACTGTTCGAATCATTCCGGCTGGTCATCAAATTTAGGTAACTCAATCTGAGGGAGTTTAAGCTTCGGAATGTTCCCCGACCCAGGAGCAACTGATTGGTCTGATGCTGATCCACTATTGCTAATCAAAGAGCGACGCACGTGGCAAGAAGAAACAACCCAGAGCCATCCTCAACTTATCGGAATACGACTCGGAAACATCTGTCTGACGGGAAATCGCTGTCAGCATCCCACAATCCCTACGTCAGCATCATGGTTTCGACTTCGGCATCAAGGATGGACATCTACCACTTCAAAAGTTCAAGTTTAGACTGAGTAAAATAATCAGTAAATCAATCTCAAATTTTGAGTATGGAAAAGTAGCATCGTGAGTAATAAGACATTTCGTTTACGAATGCCTCTTACCAGCTCTCTAGGCTATCAACAACCTAATAGTGTTATTACGATATTACCAGATGAAGCCCAGTCTGCCTGAAGCTGATCAACAGCCGCCAACGCAAATGGCACTTTCGTCAAACATTTTAAATGTATAAATGGTAAATGAGTAATAGTTAAATAAATGTTTATACGTTCATTCATTATACATTTAATAGAAATGGAAATGTGTATATGGCTATAAAATGTACTGGAATAGAATGTAAAGTAATATAGAACATATTAATCGGATATATTTGTCAGTGTTAACAGTACATAGAATGGATACAGTATACACGACCAATTCGGTTATAATGGAGATTTCCTCCCACAGGACAATTTACACCATTTCAAAATAAATAACTGAGAACAAGCCACAGGGCACGGCACCCACTCACAGCCACTAAAATAAACTCACTACCACTTAGAGTCCGGCCATGGAAGCTCAAGCAAAGAGTCGAGACTAAATCCGGTTTGGAGGACCATATACAAAAATGTAAAAACGAACGCGCAAGACGGGCGCCGAGGGTCCAAACGGAGCTGAGGTGTTGCAGGAATGCACGCTGGACGCTGGAAGAGTTCCATTAAAGCGGGGATACCGCAGCGTCATGAGTGGTGAACGAAATCTGAAGCGTCATCCAGTGGCGCTTTTTTTCAAGTTCGGCTTCAGAATGGCCAGCAATGCGGATTTTTGCGCAAAGAATTCCTGAATTCTTTTTACACGAATTCCACCAGATTTTGTACAGAGTAACATGATAGGAACGACATTACTGAATGATTTTTTCGTTTTCAGAGGAAGGATGATTATTTGTTGCAGCAATATAGGTTTGAAACTAATCGACAATAATTTGAGGATATTGTACAAAACTGCTGTACTGTTTGAGAATTTCGTCTTTCGAATTATAACGAAATGTAAAAATTAGAATTCCAAATTTCACTTCCGAACCGTGACTCCGGTTTTCCTTGTATCTTGTAGTCACGCCGACTGACACCTTCGCCTTGTATTAGGCTCAGTCGCACGCCCGCGCAGTTCTCCAGACCCCACACTATGTAGGCGCATCGACTTGCTTCACGCACTTGCCCTTCAGCAGTTTTCGCAGCACAGCAGTTTCTGGTCCATTACACTTTACCGCTTGCTTATTTAACTGCCCTTGTTCTGAGTGAACTGTACGCCCACGGAGACGAGATGCAGCCTGACGAGCAGTGCGCGACTTCGCTTGCTTGCATTTCTTGGCGGTCGGCTTTGGGGAACCGAGATTAATAGGGAGGCCAAAGATCGTAACACGCATAGCCTGCGAAGGAGAGATCACGGTACCACCCCGGGAGTGTTTTTTTTCTCAATTCAGTGAAGAACTTGATTCCGATCGTCTGAGCACGTTCCAGTAAATAAAATGCTTCTTAGGCTGATCACTTCATTAGTAAAATATTTGGAATTCTAATTTAATCTGTAGTATGACAGTATGTAATATCTAAATTAATTGAATTTTCTGTGTACAGACGTGAAGTGGCGCTAAAGAGGAAGGTGCCTGGGAAGAAGTCTGGGTTTCTTCAGAATTCTTTGATCTGATAAATTTGCTTTGTGCCTCGACTGTGGTCCATTTTATCAAAATTTAGTGCAGATATATACGTTTTGTAGTCCAAATTGGTAAAACGACGTTATAGAAGCCACTCACAATGTCATTTACATTGTTTGCAAATGGCAAAAATGACATTTGGACAAACCTCTGAAAATTTCGGCCATAATATAAGTGTTTATGGTGTGAAACCTTTTGAATACTTTTCTATTTCCACTAATAATCACATTATCGCTTTCCGTAATTAATTTAAACATTTTAGTTGTTAGAGATGATCAATTCGTGCAGAAATTGACGGAAAAAAATGGAAGCAATAAGAGAGGTAACTCAGCAATGTTTTAGTTAAATTAAATTTCCCTGCTTAATTGGTACTTTAGATAAACCTGTTCAGGCAGGCAATTATTAGCATTTGGTTGCATTTAAAGGCAATTGCCGGCACGTGAAAACTACGGATGTCAACTATTGCACGAAACTTCCGATGGAATAGCAATAATATTTTTCATGTTATAAGCGTAAAAATATTTATCTCCGGCAAGAGGCATCAAACATCAATTTTCAAGTAACAAGAAACATTGAATATAGACATTTTGGTGGAAATAAGTACATAATGTACGTAAATAGGATACTAAAATTTTGAAGCAGAAAAATCACTCTGAAAACTATCTTAAAGTTCAGACAAATCCGGAAGTCAGGAGGCAGACAACTGGCGTCCAATCCGCAGAGTCGAGGGGGGAGCGCAGCCGTGCACCACCAATTTTGTGTACCAATAAGCCCTGAATCGAACGCATTGGATCTCTCCGGACATCCACCAATCAGCCGTGCACCACTCGGCTTTGTCCTCTTCCGGCCTTGACCACCACCTGCCGTGCATCACCAGGCCGCGGATCGAATATGACTTCCAGGCATCGTTAAATTACGTAATTTTACGTTCACCGCATCTAAGGTTAGGTTTCAGATAGCATAGTTCTGTTCCAAAATTTATCGTCCTTCGACAAGTGGCCGTTCGACCGAGGGCTGGTTCGACCCACGGCCTAGATACGGACGGCTTGAAGTGTTGAAGGCTACGTTCCGGAAGGCAGGAATCATGATGGTCCATTACATCCAGGGCAGTGGTGTTCTTCGGCAAGCGACCCGTCGAGGGGGTTCGACCGACGAAGACTGACCCCGTCGTACACGAAGAAAATTCCTCTATGAAGTCTTTCAATGTATTTCCAGCAATCTGCAAAAATTTCCATAAGCAATAATTCTTGGTTAATATGTTCGAAAAGTTTATCGAATAGTTAGTATTTAGCTTTTTTGGAAAATTCCAAACGTCTTTCATGTTTAATATAGTTGAGTAACTTTGATACGCCTTTGTAAGGAAATACTCAATGAGAGAGCTGTTAATTGTTATCTGACTATTGTCTTTGTATTTTGAGCGGAATTTAATGTAACCTGGAGCTTTTAGCTGCGAATATCATAGATGTTTAGTTTAGTTTAGTGTCCAAATGTTTACTGGCGCTTCAGCTATTAAGCTATCTCGCACCGAAAGTCAAGATGAACATCACCATAAACGAGAGAGACAGAGAAGGGAAATGTAAGGAATCCTACCTACATAATAACTTAACCCCACAACTGAGACCTACAGTCAGACACCGCCAGCTCAGCGGTGGGGCGCTCAGGAACAATCCCCCTAGGAGCGCGAAATCCCATAGGACTTCTGACGAGCACAGACACCCGTCAGAAGTCCCCCCTGAGGGGGAATATCATAGATGACGGATCGTATAGGGCTTAGAGAAAATGGTAACCTTTGGTCTATTGACGAAACTCCGGCAACCTGGGGTTTAGCCACGAACAACATTAATGTCGGTTGGCAAATAGCTGGATGAAGAAAGCAAGAAATGCCTATGAGTAGAATTCCGCAAGTATTAACACACTGAACCTTTGGATAGAAATTCTGACAAATACATGCGCGAGAGGACTATGTCAGGTAGTCCAACTCTTTTTGAGAGCTTTGGCGGAGGTCCGCAGGTATTGATCTTTTTTAATCGATGGAGCCTTTCTTCTGCACCTGCGTATGAAATCGATAAAAGGAGGTGTATCTGTTGCACAAGGGAGCGGTCACATATTTCGAAGTCAGTTTAGAGTTCAGTGTGAAGAATTACAACATGAACCTTTTCCATTGCGTGAAACTTTTAATCATTATTGGGCACTTACGAAATGAAAAAGAAATGGTTACATCTGTGCTGCTGTATAGCAGTTATCGCAGGACTGCGATTCCAAGACAAATTAAAGCTTATGGAACCTTCCCTAAGGAATAATTCGTCCAAGTCATCATTCGCCATCAATAATTACTAATAAAAAGTACTAATAATTTTAATAATAATTTTTATTATTACTAATAAAAAGTATTAGTAATAATACTAATAAAAATTGTGCAAATTCGACAAATTTCGATTGGTCGTTAATCGAAATCCGAATTAATTTTCAACAATTTTGGGCAAAATTTTACCAAGGAGGAAAAAGAGATATAAATTTTTCAATATATTTCATGCACAATCAGGGGTAACCTGTCATAAAAAACGTTTATCCAGAAGAAAAATTCGATTAAAATTCAACTGAAGCTGGAGCTGAACTTAGAATTAAAAAAAATTAAATCAAATTACATTTCACCTCATCGATACATTTCGCATAACACAATAAACGAATTGAACTGCTAAATAATAAATACATTGTCAGAGTTCCAAGCAGATGAAGGATTTTCCTGTGCATACAAATTTGTCAAGACATCTTAAAACTGAACCTGCAAAAAAAATTCCACACAATTCATGGTGATTTGAATGATCGATGAACGTTTTGAAAATAGTCCGCTGTAGGTGCATTTTGTTAACGAACTCAACCGTGGGCTAGTAAATATTTATGAACGAAAAATATTGCTTCACTAAACCTAAACACAAATAGAATATGTTAGGGTTTTTATAAATCTAATCTAAACCCTAACACTCTCACTCAGAAATTGCGCACTTTGACAGGATTGGCATTATCTTATGATTGTTAGCAAAAAAATGATGTAATTAAATATAATTCATTAATATAATTATTTACTAGAATGTCATGATTCGATTCCAATTATTTCTGCTAAGAAAATCAATGAATCAATTGCATAAGCTATGCAACAAAATAAAACCATTGGACAACACTTTTGTCACACAAATCCCAACTAGTTTAGGCGTCAACCCTATCTGGTTGAACAAGCCGCATCCAGAAGATAGGCAGGCGTGTCACGTTGTCCCTGATGAAAATGATGGCAGGTTTGTTGACGTTGATACGTTGATATCCTCCTATACGATCAAGCGTCGCCCCACTAGCGGCAGCAGCAACGGTACCGGTTTCGGTGATCTCCACGATGGCTTCGTGGAGGAACTGGCTGATCCAAATTGGCTTCTTACTCGTCAGTCCACTGAAATCAGATGTCGTGGGGGAGAATATGCTGTTGATGCCAAGTTGTTTCAAGCTAGAAACCATGTTGGCCTTCATGTTCAAACGCATTCTAGGCAGTGAGAGATTAACTCTGGTTTTCCTCATTTTTGAGATTAGATCTCTTATCGCGTTGGGGTCTAGCTGTCTCTCAAGTACCTGGATGGACTTGACTCGCGGAGATTCTCTGGGCAAGATGATTATCATTGAAAGTTCTCCACCAACGTACGGGATAGCAGTGATGTCGAGGTTGAATTCAGGGCTATAATAGTAGTCGGTATCAAATGTATTGCTCATCATAGGAACGCTGATGTTCCTCACACCCGTGTCAAATGCGCCTTCCATTGTGAAGTCTACTGGAAAAGGAGTTTCCCAAGCGCCGTTGAAATAAATGGTATTGGCTGCCACAAATGTGGTGTCTGGGCTGAAAGGCGAAGAGATGAAGTCTTTTATTTTACCTTGCGTTGCATCCTCCACCCACTGGTTGACGCGAGTCTGGGTTTGGACGGGCCGTTCACGGAAGTTTTCTAAGCTTACGGTGCAATTGTAATGTTCACCAGCCTGCGATACGAAAGTTTCACTGACAGGGGTGGTTTCTTCCAAGAAAAGACGACTAGCAGTGCTTATTATTATTTTATTGGTTTCGTAGTTGAGTCGTCGCAAAATATCTTCGTACTGAGTGTGATATGCGGTAGAACTGTCAGAGTTTGATAAACCCAAGGCTTTTACAATTTCTTGAGATGTAACTCCACTCGTTCCTAGAGTTAGCAGAGCTAAAAGGCTGGCAACACTGATCGGAGAAAAAACCACATTATCACTAATGCCTAAATTTCGGAAAGTTAAAATTAGATCTTGAGTGAACTCTTGAATTCCATGTGTCACCGAATAGACGCTGGGTGTTGCTTGGCCAAATCTATCTTGCCCGTCACCGTAAGAATTCTGGTCGGGTTCGAAATGCGTGGGTCGGTTGTTAGATGTCGGTCCCTGAGGAACAAATGCAACCGGTCCAGGGAAGCCATTACCGGATTGTGGTACTCGATCATGGGCATTAAATCCGTTTTGATTGGGAGTGGTAGGTCGGGAATTCGGGTTAGTTGTTGGACCTGTCGCATCAAAATTCTCTGGCAGGTTTATGACGAAAGGTTTATCTTGAGGTTTGTAGTCTTTAGGAGGAATTGCTCCACCCGAAGCAACCGGGATAGTTGATACACTAGAGGCACGAGGCGGGACCTGAGGAGCGGGCGCATTGCCTTGGCCATGCGAAGGATCAACAACTACAATCGGGAAAGGGTTGGTGTTGGGTTTATCAGAGGAAGAACTTGATCCACGATTAGAGTTGTATGCGTTGTTACCTGGTAACTGACTACCAGAGCTAGCAGAAATGGGATAGTATTGGGTGTTGCCAACATTGGGGTTGTATGGCTGGTAGTTGTTCGTATTTATCGGTCGGACCGCGGGAGAGAAATTGGTATCGACAGTAGGTTGACCAACCGGACGACTGATTCCGGAAGTTACTACGCTAGTATATCCTGGCTGGTACACTAGACTTCCTCCATCAATAAAGGGAAAAATTCCAAGAGGAGGACGAACGGAGCCCAAGACACTGGACGAAAGAGTAGTTACTACGCGGGGAATATTCAGCACCGCGTCAGTGACTCCGCGTACTTTATTTTCCACTCTGTCTAGCAAAATCCCAGGTAGATCATCCTGGTTTGATGGCGTTGGCGGGCCAGGAACTAGGCTGCCATCCTGTCTGTTCAGATATGGGCCAAATGAGCTTGGAAAAGTTTTCCCAATGTTGCCTGCTATCGATGGCGGTCTTTCGCGCGCAGGACCGAGTCCGAAAGTATCGCTTACTCCTTCCTCAATTTGAGATCTGATACCCTCCATGACAACCGAATTCGCAGGAGGCATGCGGGTTGTGTAGGAAGCTCCTGCGTTAACTTCTTCAGGCAACGCAGCATCGCCGCTGTCAGCGTAAGCGGTCGATGCAGAGATGATGGAGAAGAGCAGCACAAAGCTTGTCAATCTTGGATAAAAGTTGCACCCCGCCATCGTTCCTGAGAAAAAAAGATATTTGAATGAATTTTGCCGTCTTAAATCACATTAAATGACACTTCCATTACAAGTTTACTGTTATGCAACATGTAAATATTATCAACATGATATGTAATTATGTTGATAATATTTTAACATGATAAAGTATTTACTATAACATTGTTTAATTTTACGGATTAATATCATTTTTTCGAAAGACAAAATAAGAACCCTGGTAAAGCATTATTCATCACCCTGCACACCTGACATCTAGGCCTTGATGTGAAAACTGCGTTTACATTGCCGTGTTTTAATTTTCTTAGCGTTGACAAATAATTTTGCTATTGTTGGGGTATAAGCTTGTATTTTATCATCTTGCTTGTTATTTTACTTGGAACTCATCAATTATCTTGAAGATGTTTAACGCCATTCTAGTTTAGACTTTACGGAAGTCGGAATGCGGAAAGTGTAAGTTGCCGCTAGATTATTGCGCGGTGTGAAGCCCGAAGCGGAAAGCCTTAAACCAGAGACTTGAAACTTACTTAGTCATCTTCTCATCAGTGGCCAGCACGCGAATTGAGTATATTATAGTAGATTGTATATATTAAAACGGATTGTGCAATGAAGTTATTTTAATTAAAGACTATCAGTGAAAATGACCCTATACGATCATGTAGGCTGATTTGGTGTGTCGGTGACCTCAAAACTATGTTTCAGATGATACGGTAGAATGTTGATTTGCATTGAGATCAACGGAATATGCATAAAATTTGACTGAGATTGATCGGAGTTAACATCCGATGAATACATTCATATTGTCGTTGTTCTCTGTAATAACGAACTAACCCAACAGGCACTGTTAGGTTGAATCAACGTTGAAACAACATTAGCTCACGACGTTGAAATAACGTTGAATATTAGTTTAGAATGAAAATCTAAGCAACGTCATTTTTTTCAACGTCGTATATTTCGACGTTGTTTCAACGTTGAAATCGCGATGTTATCTGACGGCAAGATCGCGAGTATATATATTCGATTTTAAAGTGAAAATTTAATGCGTTGTAAACGTTGAAACGAGGTCGAAATGTACGACGTTGCTTAAATTTTCATTCTAAACTAATATTCAACGTCATTTCAACGTCGCGAGAGTTGTTGTTCCAACGTTGATTCAACCTGACATAGCCTGCTGGGAAAGGTTTTATGTTTAGACTTAAGTTGTAAAACGTATTTTTTTCGAGAGTATATTTAGGGCTAATGAATTAGTATCCGTTGTATGTCTATTAAACATGCATTACATATATGCGTCTATTTACATGCGGAGCCGGACGTAATTTGATAACACGCAATAACAGCATGTAAATGTCGGATTGTCTCGCAAGATTATGAACAGTCACGAAATGGTCATGACAGTAACATCTGATGATGCAATAACTGCGTGTGAAGGTCGAATTGTCTTCCAGACATTTTCAACAGTCACCACGAGATGGCACAAAGGTCACAGATATGCGGTAGGTGTTTCTCGTCTCAACAGCAAATGCATCACAATATTATTATTATTGTGTGATGCATTTGCCAAGTAATTTTACGAAGTACGTAACCGTGCATGTTACGTACTTACGATGCCCACCAATAAATGAATATTTAACATAGAATATATGAATATATAGTTAATACACAACGTCACCGTCACAGTTCTTTAATCTAAGCATCAGTTCAACAGAGATTAAAAAAAATCCATCACACTGAACTGCTTCACAATACAACAAAATTTGCGTTTTAAACGATGAAACACCAGTTCAACTTTAGGCACCATAAATCTTCATTTTGTATTAAACTCGTAAACACACACACCCGCCGAACAGTTCAGTTAATATTGTCATAACAGCATTGGATATACAAGAGGAAATAATAATGTAAAGCAGTGACAGCTTGCTCACAATATAATGCAGTGCACAGCCAAGTACACCTAGTCTGCACAGCAAAGATGACTCAGTCTGCTCAACGTAGATGACTCAGTCTGCTCAACGTAGATGACTCAGTCTGCTCAACGTGGATTGCTCAGTCTGCTCAACGTAGATTGTTCAGTCTGCTCAACGTAGATTGCTCATTCTGCATACCGCAGATTGCTCGGTCTGCACAGCAAAGATTGCTCAGTCTGCATAATGTAGATGACTCAGTCTGCTCAACGTAGATGACTCAGTCTGCACAACGTAGATGACTCAGTCTGCACAACGCAGATGACTCAGTCTGCACAACGTAGATGACTCAGTCTGCACAACGTAGATGACTCAGTCTGCACAACGCAGATGACTCAGTCTGCACAACGTAGATGACTCAGTCTGCTCAACGTAGATTACTCAGTCTGCTCAACGTAGATTACTCAGTCTGCATACCACAGATTGCTAAAATGGCACAGCAGACTGTCCATTCTACACAGACTATGCAGTCTGCACAGCTCAGACCAGTTTACACAGATAACACAACACAACACAGCATTGAATATTTCGTGCGCGCTAGTCACAAAGCAGAGGCCAGTGTTTTCCGCCGTTCAGGAAGCGGCGTCCTGGGATTCCCGATCATGGCGAGCGGATGCGAGTGCGACGCATCGACGCCCTGAGGCTACCAAGGCGACAGCTTGTTTCGCTAATACTACAGGATACATTGAAATATAATCCACGCAAGTGCTTATGAAAAATATTAATAATTTTACCTTAATATTTGTTCATACAACTCAGAAGTTCTCAAATTAGGGGTAAATTATCATCTGGGTAAATTATCATTAAAGGGACCGGGTGGGACGTGTATTTGTAGCGTTTAATGGTCAAAGATTTGCAGCATCGGTTATGGTCGAGCAAGATTTCAACGCGTCCTGGCGTATTTCAAGTGAAATTCTTCAGCTGTAACTTTGATTGAATTTTTCAAATACGCCTTGTCTGCTTCAGAATAGAACCTGATGTGAAATTTCAGGGGTAAAAGTGTTTCGTTAATTTAATTTGTAAGTGAGATAATCTCATTAATTCTCTCATATTACGAGACATATTTTGATTCAAAATTATCTTCTTGAATTATGGGCACGAGGAAGTTTCGTAAATTATCGAGATTAGAAAATATTAGACTTGTCTATTAAAGCAGACCCACACAGAGCAGGAATAGGTCCAATATCCCGATTAATTAGAGAGCTGTTTGTTATAATAAAGCTGAGTGGGTTCAGTATTGCGACATTTTGAATAATCAGCTAGTCTGTGCACAAGCTGCTTGATAAGTGGGCATAGAACAATTAATATTCAGTGCAGGAAACCTGTTCCGGTGGTTACAGTCCACAACCTTGGTTACATGCTGCGCGTCTGGAGTTTGCAGACACAAGTGCAAATACGCAGCTTAGTGGGCCACAAACTGGGCAAGGGTTGGCGTTATCAATCATGGTGGGATTTTTTAAACGCTTTTCTTTAGAATTGGAGAACCATAGGCGACAAATATCTGAGGAATGGTTGAAGATAGCCTATTGCTGAGCAGGTGGTATTCTATGAAGTGTATCATGCATTCCTATGGCGTTCCAGCTGGGTTCCTAGCTCAATTCAAAAATATCACTGCTGAATTATAAAGGGAAGTTCAAGTATAAGGCATTTAGATCAAATGTGATTTGCGTATATTACTTATTTGTTCCGCCACTATTTAGAACTAACATTGACATTAATCTAACTGAAATGGAAAACGAAGGAAAGACAATACGGAGAAAACAAGTAATAGCTTGTCGAAAGTGCTCAATTTTATACGAATAATGGAGGAAACAAAATCAGTGCTAGATGCTTCAACTGGCATTTGAATCAACTTGAATTTTCAACTGGCATTCTATTTCGAAGACAACCGTTGCTTCCACCGTGGTAGCTTCCACTTGAGCTTTAATTTTGTGTGATAACATGTTGCTAAAATATGAACGTGTACGGTACGTGGTCAGTTAGCACTTGCAAAAAATTACCTGTATCTGGAAATTACCTGTATCTGGAAATTACCTGTATCTGGAAATTACCTGTATCTGGAAATTACCTGTATCTGGAAATTACCTGTATCTGGAAATTACCTGCTGTATCTGGAAATTACCTGTATCTGGAAATTACCTGTATCTGGAAATTACCTGTATCTGGAAATTACCTGTATCTGGAAATTACCTGTGTATCTGGAAATTACCTGTATATGGAAATTAATTGTATCTGGAAATTACATATCGTTCGATATCTTCGATTTGGTGAAGTAATTGTCTCATGACTCAAAGTCACTCTTATCAGAAAAACTTTTATCTGAAATATTACGATTGTTTTCTTATGAACCAGTGAGTAAGGAAGTGCTGAATACGAATAAAGAGTTGAAGCTTCGAATTCGATTGTAACTAGTATTAATTCACAAATTCACGATATTACCTTTTTACTGACCTTCAGTCGAGCCGATGCAGGAGACTCCTACTGCAGAAACTAAAATATTGCTCTTAGGTGATTAGTAATGCCGTTTTTCTTCCTTGGTGGGTGCCGCCTGTAGTATCAGTCAACTACGCTACTGAAAGAGACTCGAGCCGCTCAATCAGTTCACCATAATTTAGCTGGAAAATAGTTTTTACTCTGAAAGTCGTCAAAATGTTTCATATACTCAAGACTGGAGGGCACGTCGCAACTCAACGGAAACACTGAACGCACATGCTACCACCGCCAGAGTCAGCACAGCACTGGCACGCAGCGGAATATAGTCAATATACTTATGCGGATAACCGGACTACGAGCTGCAACAGGGATTGCATATATCCTGGCTGTGACGATATGGCCATAACAGGATGAGCATGAAAGTCCTAGAATCAAATAGAACGAAGTAAATAAGAACAGTGAAACAACTCACGTACAGTCCAGATTATTCTAGTTATGTGAATAATACAATTTTGACGTACATAATTATAGCCAATCAGAGGTGAATTCCAGTAGCTTTGTGTTTCGAAAATAAATTATTTATCGCTTCTTCATTTCTTAGGAGAGAGTCATTTAAGTCGCGTGATAATGGCCCGTATGCTAAATAGGGCACTAGCACTACGAAGTAGCACTACGCACTACAAGCTGTAGTGCCGTACTAGCGCGACATGGAACACTACGGTTGGCATGCTAAATGGGGCACTAGCACTATGGAGTAGCACTACGCACTACAAGCCATAGTGCGGCATGGAACACTACGGTTGGTATTCTAAATAGGGCCAAAAGCATAACGCGCACTACAAAAATCTGAAGTGTCCTACACACCGCACTTCACGACGACACTACTGTATATTTAACCTTGTTTACTTCGTCAGCTACGGATCTTTTTGGCTTACAGCATAGGCATCATCGCGTAAAAACCTCAGGAACTACATGCCATGAATATAAAAAAGTGTACCGCTTCAGTGAACAACATGTTATTCTTACGGCTGACATTTTCCTTGGCGAAACAGATGAACAGCGTAGAAGTAGAAAATACTTTTTTCTTTTTGATACCATGTTTTAATTTTTTTTATGGAGTCATTTTGAATTCTTCTGCAAGAACTTTCCATGCTTCTCTCTTTTGTTCGATGTCTTTGGGAAGCGTGGACTTTGAATATATGATGGGAAAGGTGCGCAGACGCATTGCGAATTTCAGCTCACCATCACAATTTTCACTAGTACCATTACCATCACAATTAGACATTTTACATCAATCTTCTGCAAAGAATGAGAATTACTTAGGGAATAATTATTTATTTGAGCACTTAACTACCATTCTTCAATAGACTCATAGCTTAGTGCGGCACTATATAAAGTACTCTAACAGCGAAGTAGCACTTCAAAGTCTTTCTGCATACGAATCAGTAGTGCGACACTAAGCGACACTAAACATTGTAGAGCTACTTCGAAGTGCTTAGTGTCTGTGACGTATTTAGCATACCAACAGGACACTTCGTAGTGCGTAGTGCTACTTCGTAGTGCTAGTGCCCTATTTAGCATACGGGCCATTTTTATATAATTTTTGGGGATTTTTTTTAGCCTAATCACGTGTGAGAGTTTTTAATAATTCAAACTATTTTAGTTTACTGCGAGAAGAATAAAACTTAAAATTATGTTTAATGCACAAGTATATTTTGGCATCAAGTACTCTAAGCGAAGTTGGGAAATAATGCAGCGGAAGTCGATATTTATGAAGGGAATTACCCTGTACAAATGACGACATAAGAGCTGTTCTTCTTGATAGCGATCGAATATAGAAATAAAGGGAGTCCCCGCGAGACCGGCGACTGAATTAATTTTTTTAATAGCAGAGACGAATTAATGCCATGACATCTGTTAAGAAACATTAGATTATAATATTGAACTGGGCGACGGTACACAGGGTTGAAATTAAAATGAGATTAGTAAATTAGAGTAATTATCTTGGTGATGAATGAAGAGGAAATATGCAATTAGAACGATAGAATGTTTAGAAAAATTGTGTTGATGGGATAATTCTAGACAAAGTATAGAGTGAAGATCGAAAGAAATCGAGAGCTTGTGAAAATTAGGTATTTGTTTACTATGCGAACAATTCACGTTGAAGAACAATTTAGGTTTTAGAAATATTCTGTGTAATAAACAATTAACTTCTTGGGGACATTCACGTTATTAAATAATCTAAGTCGGGAAATTCTACATGGAATAATTTGAGCTAAGAGCTATTGACATTGGGGAACAATTTACAATTGAAAAATATTTACAAATGGGAATAACAAATTAAAAGGAATAATTCATTATTGCAAACTATTCATTATTGGAAGCAATTGAATAGAAGGAGCAATAAATTACGAGGAAAATTTAACAGCGAGAACAATTCAATTTTGGGAACAATTCCAGAAACAGAACAATAAACTAAAAGAAAAAATTTACTAAAGAACAATTCTCTATCGAGTACAAGTCACGATAGGGAACGATGAACAACAAGGAAAAATTCACTGTATGGACAATTCAACATGAACATTTTATAATAGGGAACAATAAACTAAGAAGAAGAAGGGACAATTTTTAGGGTCATATCTAAACGGAAACAATATTAAACCTATAACCTAGATTGACCTGACCGATGAGGGAAAGACAAAGACTAATATAGCAGACAAAGAGTGATAGCTCACATATGATGACCTGTTCGAATGATGAATGCTTACAGTTTCTAGCTTTAAATTGCGGCTAGTAGGAATCTCCGATCGATTTTGGTGACTTGGAAAATATTTATTACGCATTGCAGTAGTAATATTGTAGCTACCTTGATGAAGAACTATACATCGTAAAGATATATTTTTGTTATTTTGGTACACATGCTGGGTTTTGGCGTCACACGTTGAGTTATGGTTCCAAATATTCGGTGGCTTATTTGGAGGTTACTATGATGGCTGCTTTGATGGTTACTATGATGGCTACTATGTAGGTTTCTATGATGGCTACTATGTAGGTTACTATGATGGCTACTATGTAGGTTACTATGAGGGCTATAATATAGGTTACTATGGTGGCAACTATGCTGTTGCTATGAAGGATACTATGTAGGTTCCTACGATGGCCACTATGTATACCGTAGGTTACTACGATGGCCACAATGTAGGTTACGTAGGTTACTGTGATGGCTACTATAATGTAGGTTACTACGATGGCCACTATGTACCGTAGGTTACTACGATGGCCAAAATGTAGGTTACGTAGGTTACTATGATGGCTACTATAATGTAGGTTCCTACGATGGCCACTATGTACCGTAGGTTACTACGATGGCCACTATGTAGGTTACGTAGGTTACTATGATGGCTACTATAATGTAGGTTCCTACGATGGCCACTATGTACCGTAGGTTACTACGATGGCCACTATGTAGGTTACGTAGGTTACTATGATGGCTACTATGTAGGCCACTATAATGGCTACTATGTAGGTTACTATGATGGCTACTTTCTACGAAGTTCAGTAAATGATTTCTCTTCCACGAATCCATTCATTTTTTCTGCTCACGAAAATGTTCGTTGGTTGCATTACGCGACTTAATTTTTGCGGCAGAAATTTGAAGGCCACTGAGGCAGCCTGACTTTTCCCTGAATTAAACACTCAATTCAGCTCTGAAAATTCGTTAATTTGGGTATTATTTTCTTTCAGTTATGATGTGACAGGCTTTACAACTTCCTTCCCACTTGTTTAAAATCCAATCACCTAAATAATACACACTCAAAGTGGACATTCGTCGTCAGAGCGAGCGAACTTTTACGATGTTAACAAGCACGGTTTCGCCAATATGATATTTTAGTTCGTAGAAATGGATTAAAACATAACATAACATAGTGATGTCGGCTCTGAAGTGTAGGCAACAATTTTGATTGAACTGCACTAAAATTGAACCTTTCACTGAAATCGTTTCGGTACAAAATTCGCGAGATAAGTCAAACCGGCATAGTAAAAAGTGAGAAAGTTGGGACCCGCAAACACTGCGTGCGTCCTCGATCACTGCCAGAACTCAACTCCCTTGTTGAGTTCTTGGATTGTTATTTGTGACAATTATTGACCTTATACGTTTCCCGATTTCAGGTCGCAGGGACCTTGAAATGTGAAAGTGATTTGAAATTTAAATCTGAATTGATATATATTTAGGTCTAAACGTTCCTCTTCGTCTTCACAGTTTTCAAGTTGATTGAATTTAAATTTTTATTGAGGAAATAAATAGTGTCTGTGCTCATTGATTAAGCTCTACCTGAGAATTGGGTTACGTGACTAAGGTCGGGAAGGATAAGTAAGACACATCTGTCTGATAACATATCTTGATATACGGGGTGGCTATACCTTGTGTTACGATGCAGAGGTATAAGCTACAGCGTCGACCGTAACGTCGGAGAACTCAACCGACGCATTACATCGCGGAGCGCTTATCAACTACTGCGGGAGTTCATACTAGGTTACTAGCCCTTATAAAACCTTCGCTTCCGCCCACAACTAAGGTCTTGATCGCGTGATCTATCACATTATGTCTCCCATATCTTCCAGATGCTGACTCATGTCTAGTACTTTTCCATCAATCTCTATCAGGTCAAGTGAATATTACGTCCCAGCTACATTTGATCTAATCATATAATATAATTATAATGATTATATTGAGACGCAAGATTGACACCGGACACCTCCCCTCTTTCTAGAAGATCGTCCTGATCGTATGGACAAAAATCCATAGATCCATACGAGCACGGATAGATCTAGAAGATCCAAATCCTTGTGCAAAACCTCCGCTCAAAGTTGCATCTCATACCTAAAGTATTCAGTAATGAAGATTGTAACATGCAGTAATATAAGGATACACTTCCTTCACCTTACAGTATGAAAGAACCAGAGTAAGGCATTTTTAAAAGAAAAGAACAAGTCCATCTCGAACACAATTTTAAATAAATCTCACCTGGGAATCTTGAAAACATCTTGTGGTATTTAATGCTACGTACGTTTGTCAGGTCATCGGGTTTTTGTATTTGCGACACACATGCTGATTAATCTGTCGACTCAGCGTCTAAGGCAAAGGCCTTAGTGACGTGCACCGCGGACTCATGCTAACTAGGACTGCTTGTAAACAAAATTACGAATTATTAAATTGATGCGCCATCAACGCGATTGAAGGTTAGTTATGACTTTTTATACCTCATATCTTGATCATTCATACCCTCTCTCTCTCTCT